AGTAATATATCTGAGCCATTGGCCAAACAACTGTAATTGATATTCAACTTCAGAGTTTTATTTCATAAGCAGCTATGGGAATTGGCAGGAGGTACAGAAAACTTCCAACTACATCTGGCACCCTACGTTGGGTGCCATATGTTAGTAAAAGTATGGAACTGGAATAAAAGGATAGCAACTATTTATTAGGAAATAGTTATGAATAACAACAAGGTAGAGAGCTGCCTCAGTCTTCCATTTTTCCCTGAGGTCAATGGAAGCAGCAATGCAATCTCCGACCACCATGCCAAGCATGAGCCCGAGCAAGAGAGCGTGTGCTTTCTCCTCCAGATTTTTCCATCCTCACATAGCATCAGGCCATGCCCTAAGGCTAGTACCCCAAAACTATTGGTGGAAAGAATTCCCACAACAGTTTTCTTCTTCTGTGTTCTTTTATTCTGTGTTCTATATTCTCTTTTCTTATCTCTATCCAGAAATGTCCCCTCCATCTCTCTTGATGCTTTCCTTCTCTTCTGTATTCTCTCTCCTTTTAGAGCTTATATCCCAACAAAATATTTTAGGAGAGATAGAAATTGCAATGAGGTTACATTCCATTTCTCAAGTGTATGATATAATGAATACAAGTAAAAACATGTTTTTCATCTCCCTTATATAGTTAAAACAAAGTCATCCCAAGAACCCACATATATCCACATCTAAGTAACTTGTTATACATCCCCATGTCAACATCTCACCATATTTCCTCTCTAACAAAACACTTGTGCTCTAATTCTTGTTAAGGGTCAAATCTGAAGAATACAAACTGACACACCTAGAGTCACTGATAAGTCTTCTTCAAAATGTGTTAACATAAGGTCTTAGGGCCTGACAAGTGTAGGAATACCTATGTCTCAATCCCCAAGTCACTGTTGTCCTTGTCAGTTTGGCATGGACACACAGTCTATAACCAAGGAAGCCTTATGTATTGAATATTCCCTTCCTCCAATAATAACTTATGAAGCAGTAGAAATTAAGCCTTTTGAGTCATTTTCAGGCATTTCCATTGCAGGTTCTGCTAGTGTCCTGGGCCTCAGAAGCCTGTGCCTTTGAGAGCTCCCAGAAGCTTTTATACTTCTCTTCTTCAAAAGCTAGAAAGCTGGGTTATTGTGGCTCTATTCCTCCATCTCATTGTCTAGTCTCTATTTCTGCATAAGGTGACTGGCAAAATCCTGTGTACAGAGGAAGAAAGAGTAGATGTGTTAGACTTTACCAGTATATTTAACCCTGATGCGGCATGATAGAAATATGGATGAATATGTGTTCATTGTTTTTTATTAGACAAAAGTGTTTTTAACCTTGCCCCAAAATCTAGTATTTGCTCTTGAAACATGAAAAAGTAGGTGACAAGCCAGATTTAGCCCAGGGGCCATTTATTTTTGGCGTTTTGATTAGACTTCCAAAGGCAAAATTTTCTTTGGACCTTAATACCTTACTGAAGTCCTTTCTAATAGGTGTTACTTAAATCAAACTGAATTAATGTTGGGAGTGTCTGGGTCATATTCTAATGTATTATCCACAAACATGTTCTCCAGGGATAGGCATAATATCATATGGATTTTCCTCATGTTTGCACAAGTTAATTTATGATGACATGAAAAGCAGGAAGAATATTTGTTTTCCTTTGTTGTGCCAAGTGCTGTATTGTAGAATTCACTCAATCATTTCCTCATCTAAAAAAGAAATGACAAAACCTGTACTAATAGGTTGCCATGACAACTAAATGATACCATGTTTTTAGCAAATGTTCATTGTTGATTATAATTACAAAATGTCAGGTGGCATTGTGATCATGGTTTTAAAACAATTTTTAAATTGAGAATTCTGCAGGTGTATATAGTGTGTTTTGATCAAAGTCATCCTCTATTTCCTCCTCTGTCATTCTTCCCCCATTTCCCTAAACCACGTTGCCTCTGAATTTCATCTGTATGTCCCCCCTCCACTGATTCCACTAAGTACTGCCTGTATGTGTGTAGGTATATAATTATCTACCAGAGCATGTGTAGACATTTATGAGTTGCATCCATGAAAATATTATTCTTCCCCTTTCCAAAAACTACCAGTTGCCTAGGGATGTGACTTTATGTGTTCTTCCTTGTCCATGATGGAATTTTGGCTGGCTTGATCTTACAAATGCAGTCACAGATGATATAAGTTCATGTGTGTGATGGCCGCGTAATGTCCAAAAATCAATGTTTTGCCACTGATGTTCACTGTGTTTGGCTCTTATAATCTTCCTGTCCACTTCTGTGATTATCTGGGTGAGATGACTGAACACTGTTCTTTGAAGTGTGCATATAATTTCTAGCACCACGAAAGGTGGCCACTAGGGATGAAATTTCCAGATCCGTACTTCTCCATGTGCTACAACTCAAGTCTGTGTTGTCCTACCATCAGGTTCTTGGTAGCCAAGGTAGCCAAGAGGAATGGTAACAGCCTGTAATATTTAAAAAGGATCTATAGGACCCCATTGACTAACAATACCAAAAGAGGTAACCCATTCCTGGCACTGGGCATTCTACTAGATTGCCTGTGGGGTCTAGCATTCTCCCTTTGCAATAGGGTAGTGTTCAGGTCCCTACACACATGCCCTACTCTACCCTACTGTTCCATCCCCTATTGCATTTAACCATTCCTGTTCCATTATTCTCTTTTCTACTCCATATCTAACAATGCCTGTCTTCCAGTGAAAAGGCTAAGAATCTGGTATTTCTTCAGCCCATAAGCTTGGGTGTCTCAGTAGTTCCAATCTGGTGTTGGAGCCATAAAGAATTCCTAAAACGCTTCCAGTCTTCAGTCTCCATTGGAATCCCAAAAGTACATTCTAATACCTGCAAAGGAACACTATAGCAATAGGACAGATGAACTTGCCAGCAAGAATGAGCACACACAGGCAAAAAAAAAAAAAAAAGAGCTTTCTATTTCTCTGTCATTTTATGTGGACTGCCACCAGAAGGTGTGGTTAGCATAGGTCCTTTGACCTCAAATGATTCAGATATAGGAAGGGTCTTCCCAGCTCAAATGATCCAATCAGGAAAATTCTCACATGTGTGCCAAGTTGCTTGGTTCTTAGTTTGTTTTAGATGTTGCCAAGTTGACAACCAAGATCAACCATCACATATGGTTACTACAAGTTAAATATCACACACACACACACACACACACACACACACACACACACATTCAAAGCTAGCGTACACACATAAAGATCATGGGACTTTTGTCTTTCTGGGTTACCTCACAGGGAATAATTTCCACCTCCATTCATTTACCTGAAAATTTCATTTTTCTCAAAGCTGAATAATAGTCCATTGTGTATATGTACCACAGTTTTATAATGCATTCATCAGTTCAGTTGATGGATACCTTGGCTCTTTCACTTTCTGGCTATTGTGAATAGAGCATCAATGAATACAGATGAACAAGTATCTTTATAGTAGGACACAGAATACTTTGGGATCCTGCATGGTACTGGTGTGTCATTTGGTAGACCTATTCCTAGCTTTTTGAGAAACCTCCACACTGCACAAATTTGCAGTCCTGCCAATAGTAACTAAGTGTTTCCCTTTCCCATATCCATGCCACCATACAGATTCCATACAATCACTATCAAAATTCTAATGTAATTCTTCACAGAAACTGGAAAACTAACCTTAAAATTCATGTGAAAACACAAAACACTCAAGGTATATTCTGGAGCTACAGTCATAAAAACCACATGGTACTGGCACAAAAACAGACACATGGAGTCTCTCAGTCTTATCCACAGATTTTTAGCAGACAATCTATTACAACCTCTCCTTCCTCTATTATTGGTGTCTATTACTTCCATCACTGGGGTCTATGCAGATCTGGATGCCACACCCAGCTTTCCATTCTTCTGGGGACTCTTTCAATTTCCTTTCTTCTAACACATTCCCATGCCTTTGTGTCAGCTCCCAATACCTAGAAACAAGTTCAACCTTGGACCCCCAGTGGCCAAACCTTGCAGACTTTTATAAGAATTCCCTAATAGGGAATTCTTAGAGTTGAAGAGGACTAGTGAATTTGGTTAGTTTTATCACTTTCCGAAGCTACGGATTGTTAAAAAGCTTTTCTTCGAGATGGAATGATTCATGTCCTCATACAATATCAAATACCCTTTGTCTTAAGGAGTGCTACAGTTAGGTTTCTCTGTCTGAGACCAAGAGCAACTTGGACAGGAATCTTTCACCTAAAGGTTGTAGTCCATCATGAGGGAAAATCAGGTCAGGAATTTAAGCAGGAACCTGGACAAAGGAACTGAAGCATGGAGCATTGGAAGAACAAGACTTGCTGGCATGTTCTTCATGCCACGTTCAGCCTGCTGAATAGTGAGCCAGGCCCTTCTATTTCAACCATTAAGAAAATATTTTCACAGACTTGACTACAGGCTAATCAAATGGAGTTATTTTCTCAATTGAATTTCCTTCTTCCTAGATGACCCAGGCTAATGTCAAGGTGAGAGAAAAATAATCAGTACAAGAATATAATTCTGTTCTTGCGGGATAGAATGTGTGGCAGCTTGAATGAGAAGACAATGACTCCTACAGGCTCATATGTTTGAATACTTGGTATTCCCAGTCAGTAGAACTGTTCAGGAAGGATTAGGAACGGCCTAGTTGCAGGAAATGCACCATTGGGAACATGCTCTGATGTTTCAAAAGATTCACAAAATTCCCAGTGTGTTTTTCTGCTTCCTTCTTACAGAGCAAGATGGTAGCTCTCAACTGCTGTTCCAGCTACCCTTCACCATGTATTATTTCCACTAGCATAGACTCTAACCCTCTGGCCCGTAAGCCCATTTAAATGCATTGTTTTTATAAGGTACCTTGGTCATAGCGTTTTATCACAACAATAGAAAAAAATTAAATATAATTAATATATTATTTAAAATAATTAAGACAGAATGTTTCACATCCCTTTTAACTTCCTGTGCCTTGTGTTTTCTTTGGCAGTAAATATATTAAGATTGGAATGATAAAGAGAAGATAGCATGGCCCCTGTGCAAAGATGACACACAAATTCATGAAGCATTCCATATTTTTCTTCTCAGATTTTTGGTTATTTCAGACTCACTTGTAACAGATTGTGAAATTATAGCATATATTATAAAAATCAGATATATAAAGTTACACACACACACACATACACATACACACACACACACACACACACACACCAAGCAAAAAGTACTTTGTCTCAAAGGAAATTACTATATAACATCATGCAGAAGGAACTCATGGGATTTGGTTGGTTGAAGGTCATCCCTACATGAGCAGTGTCTAGGACACAGGACGGGAACCTTAAAGTAATCATAGGCTCCACATTTACAATCCACTGACATTTTACAACAGTGCTACAACTATTCATTTGCAAATCAATGCAACTGGATCTTTGTAAAAATTAAGAATGGAACAATGGGACTGGCAAGATGGCCAAGTGAGGAAAAGCACTTGCCTCTAAGCCTGTCAACCTAAGTTCAATCTCTGAGACCTACATGGTGGAAGGAGGAAACAGACTCTGCAAGATTTCCTCTGACCTAGACATGTGTGCCTCAGGGCACATGCCTACTCACCCATACCCCCATTTAAACAAACAAACAAATAAATAAATAAATAAATAAATAAATAAGCTCTTAGGAGAAAACAGCAATTTAATAATGTTGCATTAAACAATGATTGCTTAGATATGACCAACTCCAGAGGCATAAAAATCAGCAAAAGAAACAAATTAAATGCCATTAATAAAAACCACAACATGGTTTGCAACTAGGTCTATGTAGCTTTGGCTGACTTGTAACTCATTGTGTAGACCAGGCTGACCTCAAATTGGCAGAGATCTACTTGACTCTGCCTCCCAAATTCTGGGATTAAAGGCATGAACTACCATGTCTGGCAAAACTCTTGTTCTTTAAAAGATACAAAGTTAAGAAAATGAATAGGAAGTAGACAAGCCATAGAATGGGAAAATGTTGTTCTAATCACATATCTAAAAAGGAACTCAACCTGAAATGAATGAAGAATACCTACAACTCACATATAAAGTGACAGTCAACCAACTTTGATTTTTGTTTTTCTTTCAAGACAGGGTAGCTATGAAGCCTGTCCTAGAGCTCTCTCCGTAGACCAGGCTGGCCTTGAACTCACAGAGATCTGCCTGCTTCTGCCTCTGCCTCCCAAGTGCTGGGATTAAAGATGTGCACTGCCACTGTCTGTCTGACTGTAAACCAATTTTTAAAAGGCAAATGCTCAGAACAGATATTTTTGAATTAAAAAAAAGGACAAAAGAAAATGAAAGACAAAAAGCTATATAGGTATTGGATATGCACACTAAGATGCTTAATACCAGTAGCCACCAGGGTAATGCAGTATCTCTCTCCTTCCTCTCCCTTCCCCACACCCCACTGGAGGATGGCAATTTCAAAATAGTAGTATTCTTTGTCACCCTGATTCTAAAAATTCCATCTGTTCCAGCTGATGGGGCATCCCCCTTTCCTCTCTACTGTTCCCCTTACTGCACAGTCCCTTTAGGACTACTTATGCCCAATCTGTTTACTCCCCAGTTTCTCTTTAGCTGACAGCTGTCACCTTTATCAAGTAGTTATGTCTGCTCTTTCCTGAATGTCATTTTTTGTTCCTTGTCAATCTCTCTTAGTTTTCCTTGGCTTGGTTCGAATCATTTTCCATTGCTAACTTGGAGACTTGGCATGGAAAACACTGGAATGAAAGTGCTGTAGTTTCTCTTTCTGTAACAAATTTCATAACCCAAAGCAACTTTCAGAGGAGAAAAGATTAACTCCCAACTCCAGGTCACAGTCCACCACAGAGGGAAGTCGAGGTGAAACCTGGAGCAGAAACTTTGGAGGAACACTGCTGGGCAGCTTGCTTAGCTAATTTTCTTCAACAGTCCAGCATCACCTACTTGCTCAAGGCAGTTAGCAATCAAAACAGTGCCCCATAGACACCAGCTCACAGGTTGATCTGACTCAGGCAACTACTCAGTTGAGGTAGGTTTTCCTTCCCCTAGTGACTCCATGTTGTGTCAAGTTGACAATAAACTGACCATCACAGGAAGAATAAAAAAAAAAAACTCTGTATCAACTCCCACCCTTCCTCCCTCCCTCCCTGCACCCTTTAACCAATGTATTCCTGGTCTTTCTAAAAGGGGGTGTGGATTAACCTCTCCATAAAGGAAGAAAGATTTAAGTTTTGTGCTCCAAACACTTAGATAACTACACCTCTTAGCTGTTACCCACTTAGCATCAGGCTTCAAGGAAGCTTTGTTATTTTGGCATAATTCACAATAATCTTCAGAAAATGGGTTCTGTATAATAAATGATAAGTTAATTCCCTCCAGTTTATGCAGTATCATAAGCATATGTCTATTTCCCTTTGTATATTTTAAACAGTTTTGGACTAGGTACACACAATGAGGCACATGAATCTTAACTGCATCCCGGACCAGTGTTATGCCCATGTAACCTTCACTCAAGTCAAATCATAGTCCAACAACTCTGAAAATCTTTAGTCTTGGGACTCCTTCATGCTTAAAGCTTCTAGAAATAGAGTTGTTGTTGACGTGACTCTTGTCTGTAAATAAAAACTCATAGACATTAAAACAGTAGTTTTGAAATATTTTCCCAGTCCAATAAAAGTAGCAATCAACCTACCACATATTAACATGTAACTAATATGTGATTTTTTAAAGAAAAGTGACAGTATTAAACATTGGTAGAGTTATGTTTACATCATCTCACATCTTTTAATGTCTAGTTTCATACAAATCCTCGGCAGTCTGGTGATTTTTCTTTTAATCTATTGTGCTGTCATTTTCATTGGAATGTACACACACACACACACACACACACACACACACACACACACACACACACACACACACACACCTGATTTCCACAAAGACAAACTGGAAGCTAGAAATACTTGTCCCAGGTCCTCATGCAGGCTCTTGGAAACACAGGATGATCCAAGGGATGATCCTAGTGGTCTCTTGTCACACACCCTGAGAATCATTTCTCCACACCATTCCCATCACCCCTGGCCACCTCTTAGGGACCCTGTTCTGACTCCCTCCAAGATACTCCATGATTGGCATTATATGGAGTCCACATATGCTAATACATTCTCCCTTTGATGCAACTGGCTTTTAGTTTCATATTAAGAATAAAGACCACTTACCTTTGTGAACATGCAAGCTCATTTCTTTTGGAATGAAATTTCTTGGAACATAAGATAAGCATGTGTTTAGCAAAACAGACTTTTGAGTCTTGGAAATATTCTCATTTGCTGAAGTTTATTTTCATTGCATTGTGATTGAGTCTAAAAATGTCCTGGATGAAGCAGCTCAGGGTCTGCTCCCCACCTCTTATTTGTAAGAAAGTTAGTTAAGGAAAGGAAAGCAGATGGGGGCATTGCTTCTTTTGTTAATACAGTATACTTTTCTTTTTATGCAGAAAAATGATGTTGCCATTTAAAACTATCTTCTGCTCCCTCTTCTTAAGAAGCAGAGTGCTGAGCATGAAATATTAAAGACAAAGGCTCATAAATATTCATGCCAGATGCATCACCTCAGATTCATGATATTAAAGGTGCAATTATTAAAGTGTGCCTGGGATTCTCCAAAACTCCAAGTATCACAGAAAAGTTCAAAGAAATGTGGCCCTCTGCCAGACCTACCCAACTGATTCAAATGGGAAGCTACTCCTGGTTTGAAATGATGTATCCTTAAACAACACCAATGATAAAGTGAGCATCTCCTCTTCATTCTCCATAGCTCTCTAATGTTGATAGAGTCACTTGTTAAGTTCCTGGTGGCATTTATGTTAGTTGACTATTTTACTCTTTGCATTGTGAGGATCATTGCGCATCTTAGGTGTGTGCTCTATCACTGAACTATTTACTCAGCTCTGGACTACTTTGAAAGGGCACCAACAGAAGTGAGGTAATTGGGTATTGTTTGTTTTGTTTTGTTTTGTTTTGAATTGAGAAGATATACTGCAAAAATCTTATCTTAAGATTTTCAGTCAGGTGTTTGAAGATATTTCCTGCTCATCAAGTCACACAATTATAAGCTGTAAATTTCACCTTATAGGAACTACTTTAAATAATCCTCTAATGGTTAAGAGCCATGTATTCTTTGAAAATCAAAGGCAATTTTGAGGAGGTAGTGATGGGGAATGTGCTTCTGTATATGTTCACCTTATTGATTGTTGAATAAAGTATTGTTTGGCCAATGAGGCAGCAAGTTAGGTGGGACTAGGAGTCAAGGAGGATTCTGGGAAATGAAATAAAAAAAAGTCTTGTGATACAGGCAGGAAGTGACATAGCAGGAAGACTCATATATAAGCAGGGACAAACAGGAAGTGGTCACTTTTCTCTTGCTCTTCCTCCTGGTCTCTCCTGTGGAGTCGCCATGTGATCTGCCATCCATAGAGGACACCAGAGGAATGCATCTTCGATAAGGTAAGTCTTATAAAATATACAGATTTATAATAATTAAGACTGAGCTAGCATATAAGAAATCCTAGTTGATTGGCCAAACAGCATTTGCACCTGATATAAGTCTCTGTGTGTTACTTGGGACCTTAACATGGCAGTGGTTTTGAACTTGGGAGGCCTGGTGGAAAGCACTCACGTGGCAGCAGGACTCAGGCAGCTTGGAGGAAAGACTTATTGTTACAAGGTGGCTTTTGAGGAGGTTGTTTCTTAAGGACAGAACATTGTGTAATGGGCTAGAAAAGATGTGTGTTACCTGTCTGTAACACAAATAATTAAAAGGACCAAGAGACAGATACGGGTTCAAGTTGAAGACCAGAAAGGTAAAGCAGCTAGCCACTAGCTCTTACCTCTAGTTCAGGCTGAAAGGCAATCCTGGCTCTACCAAACCTGAGACTGCAATCCCAGACTGCTATGTTCTCTTCACCGTGGTTGGAGAACTCTGAGACTGAATGCTGCCCCGTCTTCAATGTGGCTGGAGAATGAATCCCTCTCTGAGACCCTGTTCCTGTCTTAAATACCTCTCATGAGTCCTGGGATTAAAGGCATGTGATCCCAAGTGCTGAGATCATCTTTGTATGAGCTATTTCTCTTTAGGACTGAATATATTTCTTGTAGCTCAGTGTGGCCTTGAATTAACAGAGAATCCATCTACCTCTTAATCCCGAGTCCTGGGATTAAAGGTGTGTGTCTGGCTTCTATGTCTTGTGGCTGACTTTGCTTTCTGAAGCCTCAGGCAAGCTTTAAAAATCATAAATAATAACAAGAATAGTCTTAAATAGTCACCATACCTGTCTATGAATAAGAATGCCAAATTGAGATAGTCAAGTTGAGATTAGAAATGGAATAGTTTCCAGTAATTTACGTATTATTCTTTAGTTGGTGACTAGGAATTCCTTACATCTGAATGGCACTGAGATCCTATTAGGACCATCATTTAGCAAAAAGATTCTGTATATATGGAAGGTATATGAAGGGAAAAGCTCAAAGCCCTGGATGTCAAGCAAGCAGAGAAGTTCCAAGGGAAGAGAGAGAAGCTTCTCTGACAGGGAGGTATGATTTGTAGATGTATCAGCAGCTGGGGATGGGAGCTGATGTGGCACAAGATTGCCTCAAGGTTCAGCACTGTTAAAACAAATGGGGAGAACAGATGGAGAACTGAGTTCTGCTTTTATTAATTATGCACAATGGAACACTGTCTGTTTAACTATCTATCAGGAGGAAAGCACATAGAAGAGGAAAGAGCAAAGCTCACCCCACAGGGGTAAGGGTCAATACACAAGCAGAATTGAAGGCATGTGATTGGAGGAAACAACTAAGGGAAAACAGATTTCTTAACCTGTGATAAATTACAGATTTCTTTTTACAGGTGGCTGTGAGCCTAACATAGATGCTGGGAACCAAACTCTGGTTACCTGTAAGCCCAGGAATCACTCTTAGATCCTGAACCATCTCTCCAGTCCCGAGAAATATATATTTAAGAACAAAAAGCCCTAATTTTGACAGGTTATCCTCGTTGTGTTTAATTTAATGTTGTTCCAATAGATCTTCTGTGGGTAAATGTGTTTCAAAGACTGAAAGCAATCCGGGTTAAATAAAAAAAAAAAGTTTCAGACTCTAAGACTGCAAGACAGAAAAAGTAATTATGGTATAGAAGAATGGAAACCCAGAGAAGGCATGATCAGAACAATGGGGAAACTAGAGGCCTTCTTTTTTAAAATTTATTCATTTATTTTACCTCCTGATTGAAGTTTCCCCTCCCTCCTCTCCTCCAATTTCCTCCTCACACTTCCCTTTTCCCCTCTACCCCCTACAATCCACTCCTCCTCAGGAACTCCTAACAATAGGAGCCTAACAATAGAAGCAAGTGGAAAGCTGTGGCTTCAGTGTAAGAAGGAGACAGACTAAGAGCACAGTGGGACCCCTGGCTTTGAGTAAGAGAAGTTACCAAAGTCGTTGGAAACTGGCAACCCAAATGTGAAGACCTTTTACAAAATTAAATATTGGTCCTGAAAATATTCAGTCTGATCCCACTGTTTTACAAATAAGAAAACCAGGGATTTGATGGTGTATAGGAACTACTCAAATCCTAACTATGAGGAAAAAAAAAAAAAAGAAAGAACCCATGATTTCTGCATGTAGAATCTATGTGTTTTGTGTCAGGGGAAACCATACTTGGGATATGAAATAAAGCCCCCTTTGGAAATTATTTAGAGATAGTGTATGAAAAGGCAAAGGTTTCCTAGAAAGCAATGTGGAAGCGAATACTCTGAAAGATATAACATGTGTTTTCATTTTTTTATTAGAGAAGTTGTAAGTTGAATTTCAGCCTTCATGGTATCATAATTTTCTCTGCCCTCTTCAGAGGAACACACAGAATCAATTTGTACAATCATATACAATAATTAAGTTGGCATTTTGCATCCTACAATCAGGAATCTGAGTCGCTCAAGGCTACCAGGTCTCTGTGCACTCCTCTGGGCTTGGGTAGCATGACTTGACCCCAGCATACCACTTTATGTGCCACCTGCAATGCAACTACAGCAGGCGAAAAGACCATGCAGATTAACACGGTAGCAAATCTTTTGGATATTTAACAGACATAAAAAGGTTATTTCCTGATATGAAAGTCTGAAAATCTGCATAAATATTTTTGTGTAAAATTAAATTAGTTATGTATTTTTTTCAAACTAGAACTTGAAGTATCAAGAATGCCCACATAATTAATATACACATATATATAGACTTTTTCATTATGCTAAAAGTCTTGATAGTCAAATAATATTCTGTGCCATACATTTACTTAACCAGTATTTATTTGGTGTTAGATTAACTGTGTCTGAATGGGTTAGTCATAGTTGGTGCTTGTGCATCATGCAAAACATTAGGTCTATGATTCCTGTTTACTAGTCTTGTCACGTGGTAATGTTTAGATGATTTCGCGCTATAACCGTGAGAATTAAGGAGTATAAATACTTTGTACATGGGCACATTTACAAACATTTGCCAATAACCACTTCACAATCTTTATAGTGTATAGTGAATTGTTATATCTGGAATCTGCAGAAGCAATCCCTACATAGCAGTGTCAGCTGTAAACTTTCTGAAACGAGCCTGCTGAGTCCCCCTTGGAGCACTGATGAGCTTGGCACAGGTACACTCTTTTGTGTCTATTGTTCTAACAGGTTCTGCAACATTTACAGGAAGTTAGCATCTTATGGCATGGTAAAGACATGGCACTTACTGATGAGGTAACTTAGGTGTAGAAAATTCTGCAAAATGATTTGTTATGGCAGACCACCACTTCTGCTAATGAACTGTGGACAGAGTTGTTTCTTCTAGTGCATGCGCTTACTATAAGTTACTAATGCACTATTGTTTGCAGCAGCTCAAACATGTCCTGATACATCACAAAGCAGAGCTGTAAACACCAAGCCTACTGAGTTGTGATGCTGTCTTATAGCAAACATGTTTAAGTTGTGTATCATGGTTCAACTCTGCCTGTCAGGAATAGGAGATTCTTTGTTGTTGTGGATACAGAGCTATTTTCGGTTGTCCAAGGAAATTCAATACTCAGTTGTTAAACAGAAGAACATTTGGTCATCCCCAGTCCCCAGTCCGTGTGGTTTCAGGTAACACAGTGTCTATACGTAAAAGAAACACAAAAGAGAAGAGCTTTTGTCCGTGGAGTCTGTGTTTAGAAGCTGGACATGATCTCCCGATGGTCCACGGTTTCAGCTTCAGTTTGCACTCTGAAGCTTCATACTACTGTTGCTGGTCTGCGGTCCATCTCGGCTTCCAATTTCACCATCTGCTGCATCTCCTTCGCCTACAACATCAGAAACACAGCCTTACACATGGAAATCCCCTTCTGAAGGCAACCACTGGTTCTAGTCTCTTTCCTTTAAACCTATTCTTTTTATATAGAAGGGACAAGTAGACTGACAGCCTCAGAACTTCCTGGGGTATTCTCGGAAATGCAGACTCTTGGAGTTGACTTAAGACCCACTGTATCTGAATCTGAGGTCCAACAAGATCTTCCAGGAAATTTTAATGTACATAAAAGTCTGAGAAAGACTGGCCTATAAAATTCTGGAAAAATCACAAGAAAAGAAGTTGAGCCAGATACTTAGATGATCAAATGGTTTGATTTAGTGTCATGTGTTGCCAGTACTTTGTGTAGAAAATTCTGTCATTTTCAGAATAGCATTGCTTATGTACAACTGATTGGTCAAACAACCTAAAGTTTAATTAAAACTAATTACTTAAGAGTCTTTCGTTGGGCTAGGTATGGTGAGTGCATATCCATTACACTGCTTTGACGAGTCCTATTAACATAACATTACAGGGGCATGTAGATTCCAGAAATCTTACTATCCAAACTCTGGGGCTCTTGCTTCTCTGGAGTAATTTACTTTTGATGGACCACCAGGATATAAGTCAGGATGAATTTACTATCATGAATTAAGATAGTCACTAAAGCACGCAGCTTACTCAAGAGGGTCTCTAGAAGGAAGTTCCAGTAACAAGTAATTACTTTCCCAAGTAATTGGGGAAACCAAATGGTTCATTTCAACTTTGACTTTCCAACTAAAGGCCTAGATGCTCAACCAATATGCTTGTACCTTTTGGTGTGGTAAGAGATCAGCTCCCCTTCCCACTCTCAGTGATAGATCACTGAAACACAGGACAGGTAAGATACATTGTGTAAGGAAGATTCTGAAGTCTCTGATGCTACTGTTCACGTCTTCTTTGACATTCCAGCTAACGGAAAGTCAGAGGGAGGGGCTGCTCAACTTGAGATCATACTAGAAGTAGCTAAGTATCCCAAATGAAGTACCATCACAAGAATCAGTTCCTCACAGACAACGCAGTGCTTTTATTATAATTACTTCAACCTTGTGACTTTCAGCTTCCTTTTAGTGAGGGTAGATGTAACATCACCAAAGAATTTTAGATCTGTGCAAATTTGGGGCTAATGATTCCCTTTACCCATATAATTTTCAATGCCTGACATATAGTAATACAGGAAAATGAAGAAATGGAGAAAAATATACAAACATGAAATAATGACACAAACAGTATTATAAGATGGCCGTGAGACATTGTCAGCACCGGAAATTAAATGACTTGATGTTCAGTAAACAGTAATAAAAGATTCCCTATATTTTGGCCCCTTTGCATTTAAGAAGTCTATTGAACATAGTATAAAATGCATAATTATATGCCATTGAAAGATAATCCTGAGGGCTAAATTCTTACATGAGCAGGGTGACCACCCATTTCTAATGCCAGGGATAACTTAGCAGATGTCTGGCTTTTACAGACAGACATCTTTCTCAAAAATATTTTGTTTATGCTTCAAATAGTCAATTATAGAGTCACCGTACAAGGGGTGACTAGTCATAGGCTGCCCGGATTTAACATAGAACATAGCAAGAGCCATTGTATTATAATATATCTGCACATAGACCCCCAATACTACATCATTGAAAAGCACCAATAGACATTATATATAATAATGCTCTTATGTCTGGGTTTTCTTCATGATAACAACCTGATTCCCAGATTTACAACTGGAAATGCTGGCTAAAACACTACCACAAACAAATGTGACAGCATTTCAGATTAAGTATGATGAGGAATTCAAGCATGAAATAGCCAGGGTTTTCAGTCTCACCCCTTAAGATATCAGTTAGTTATGACCAGATGGGAGTCATAAATGGAAATCAAACCAGGAATACTGACATAGCCAGAGGAAAGCAAGGTCTTGCTTATCGTCAAAATTTCAGTCCTACCTTGTGTTTGGGACACTGCATGACAGGATTTCAAAAGCTGTTTGTACAAAAATAGTAATGTCAAAATTGAGTCATACATAGAAAACAAAATAAATGAATACTGAAGTGATTTTGAGAAATGAATGCAAAACCATATACAGAAAAGCAAAAAAGCTAAGAGTAAAACACATACACACCCATTAGCAGCAACCTTCCCTGAGCTGGGCTCAACAACGGAATAAAAATAACAAAACAAACAACTGATGGGGGACCTCCATATTCAAACAACCAATGCCTATTAGCCCAATGTGTGCCTCTCTCCTGTAAGGGGGAGGTTGTCTGAGCTTTGGCTGAGTCATTTACCTCACTTTATTGACTGATAGGACTGATGACAGATATTACTCTTTAAGACTTGAATGTGACAGTAATGAAATAATTAAATGTCTGAAATGGTACATGTCGAGACAGATGAAACACTGTGTGGTTGAAGAACTATGGGAAAAACTAACTTACAAAAAAAAAAATGCCCTGGTCCTTGGAAGTCTATGTGAACAACTGGCTGATGGAGGAGGCAAGACTACCAAGGACAAAGGATCAGAATCCAGACCACATTGTGTGAACCTGTTACTGTTCTTCTCAGTGCCTCTGACAGTGGTCTAGTTATATAGATCCACCAGGCTTTGTTATGGGTTGGTAGGGCGTGGCTGGGAGATTGGTAAGAATAGGGAAAAGAGTAAGAAACTTCAAAGGGCGATAATGTATGGATGTTTCAACTAAATCATCTTTGGTCTACACACAGAGAAGAAATCTGTGGCTTAATAGTGGTTTGGAAGATTGATTTAGAACTTTGGGATTTTGTGAAGATGGCAAACGTTTTGCTCAGGGAATGTCGGCTCGACTATGAATGGAGTCCTGTTATATGGTACCAGCCTTTATCTTTATGAGAAAACAGTGGATACACTGGAACCCCTGCACTGTGCCTAGAAGAGCATTGTAGCAGACAGAGAAACTGGGAGTGCAGAACTTCTTGACCTTCCTGTTAAAAAACACACTACAAAACCCAAGTGTTTAATTCACTATGAAGCAAGTGATTTTTGCAAATTGAACCTTAATGGAGAAATTTGATTCCCACCTCTACATTTGCTGGAAGTTTCTATTTGATATAGTGAATATCTTTTCCTTGAATATAATTGCATTTTTGCATTTGAGTATTTTCCACGTTCTGTGCTTTCTTAATTTTCTATGACTCAAAGTCTCAGTTGTGGGTGGTAGATAATACTTATGACATATTAATAGGCATTATATGAAGTTTAAGAACAAAAAGGCAGCATATTTACAATATGACTCCAAAAATACAACTATCATATCAGTAACCCCACATTTTGATGTACATACTCTGACATGGTCTGAACTATCCCTGGAATAGTTTCAAGCTCATAGTGATTTCTTTGTTATGCTTTAACGGTAGCAACACCTGAAAACTGTATTCTGTAGCTCTGATCTACACCACTATGTAGTGATGAGTAATTTTTAGCACATTTACATTCTTTAGTCAAACTTGTTGCTAAGCAACACGATAATTTCTAAATAGTTTCTTAATTTAGAGTTAAAACCTAACTGTGTCTTGCCTTTCACCATGCCCTTCCTTTTAAAGCAGATTCTAAACCCTCTTAAAGACAGTCTCACCCTCTACTTTCCTTGAACCCCTGAAGTGAGTTCTGAAACTTTGGAGATTGTGGCTTTACCCTTTCTTACAGTCTTGTGTTGCCAGGGACACATTCTGAAAAGTGCTTTAAGAAGAAAAAACGAAAGTTGCACAATATGGTCCAAAATATTTATGAGTTGGTCAAAAGAACTGGACTTCTAGGACCAAACACGTCCAGTCTCTCTTGGGGACCAGGGCAGTACTGGTGATTAGAATTGACTAGCTGAAAAGGACACAAGACATTAGGGACCATGAAAGTACCAAGTACTGTCCAGCAGGGAGTGGGACTTGAAGCCAGAAGCTAGGTTTGTTACCTAAGCTACAAGACAAAAAGGACTATGATTTGTGTTCTTTTCTTAAGGGCCTTTAAAAATGTAATTCCTTCTGAATTATTCTTCAGGGTGAGCTATTTACTCTGAAAAAAAATCTTACATAGGATTGCTTTCTAGAGGGGAATACATATAAAGAAAAATGCAGTATTATTATTTCATCAACAGCTCTTTATGGCTTTTAAATGGATGTAAATTATCAACGAAATCCAATGTCGGAACCAAGAGTGAAATGGAACCAAGCAAGTTGGAAATGTACACTTTGCTGGGAGCTACAGTGCCCTGTAAGCTAGAGGTTGAAAGGAAGGCTGGTGGGCTGTGGCTCATGTGGGATGGAGTCTGCTACAGTACCCTTCGAGAAAGCCCATTTTCCCTGGCGCAGGTGACTGACCAAGTGGAGTTCGGCTAACCATCATGTATATGCTTGAATTTCTTTATTTAGTGTTTTTCTCGAGATATATATATCTCGAGAAAACAAAACCAGAGAGAAGATGCTAAGCTGTTGGGCAGCTTGTTGAGTTATAGAGGCAAGAATTTAGATCCCACTTTGAAGCTCTGGGAAGAATTTATAGATTCACTTTTTCGATTGACACTGAAGATAGGTAGTGTGTCTAGTTTGTTTTTTTAATGCACTAACACCTTCAGATTGCAAGCTGCAAGGCTCTAAATGAAAATGAAGAAGTAACTTGTAACCTGTTTGCTCATATCCTCCCTTTTAGTGCAGTCACTCTTAGAACCCATCCCTATAATGGATCCAAATGACAATGCTGCGCTCTTACTCCCCATACACACTTTCCTCTCCCACTCCACAAAAGTCACTTCTGGGTTTTTTGTCTTTTGGATTTTTTTTTTTTTTTGATGAAAAGGAAGAAGCACCCAGCAAGTCTCTCTACCTTCCCCTGTACTCCCCATCACAGCCCTTCCCAGAGGGTTCCTGTGGGTCAAAGCACCACCCTGAAGCTGATGGGCTGCCTATGTCTGTTATATACATTGGTGAAATACCTGCTCATTCTGTTTCTCTAGGAATTCTAGGTGCTCGAGCTGGACTTTTTTCAATTGATCCATTTCTTTTGACTGTTTCATCGCCAGCTGGAAAACAATACAATCAAGTTTAAGCTGCAGTCTCAAAATTATAAATGATGGATGGTATATTAAGCTTATCGTTTAACAGGGTGATCATAGTTTTTAAAAGGCAATGAAAAAGACCATGCAAACTGTTAAGAGTTTAAAATCATATATGATATTGGGCATATCTTCCTTTTCCTAAATCTCAGAAAAAGAATTGAGCACTTCTGCATGACTGAAACTCTGCTTTGTAACCTATATAAAATGCTGTCAGATAATTTCCATAATGATTACAGTAAGAAATTGCTTTGGTTTTAGGGGAAGGGCAATGCTGGAACATTTAGTGTACAGAAAAATAAAGAAATCAGCTTGAAAGGCTGGGAGGTGAGCACAAGTTATTATTCACAGATATTTTTTTCAAAAAGTAATGCTGAGAAATGCATGATATACTTACTCTCTTTCTTTCTTCTAGAAACTTTTTAGTGTTGCTGCTGTTCAACTCCCTGACTCGCCTAAAAACAATGGAGACAAATAGTCGTGTGACACCATGTGGGATTTACTTATATCCATAGGAACCAGTCTTACCTCACTACATTTTCTGGATAAGATTCTTGCTTCCTTTCCCCTTAATTTTTATTGTGGCATTTTCCAAAAACACAATATACATAGAAAGAAATAAAGATCAACTGTGTATAATTCACTCAGATTAACCAATACTAATGTTTCTTTGTGGTCTCCTACTTCTAAGATTTATTTATTTTGTCCATGTCGATGTGTATTTGACTGCATGAGTTTATTTGCACCAAGCATGTGCAGAAGCCCTCTGAGGACGAGAAAGGCATTGGACACTCTGGTACTGGAGTTACAGGCAGTTGTGAAGCTGGGAAGTGGGTGCTGGGAAGCAAACTGAGGTTCCCTGCAGGAACAGTAAGCACCCTTAGCCACAGAGCCATCTGTCCAGTCCCTGCTCTCCTATTTTTAAAGAAAAGAGAATGTTACATACAAAATTTAAACTTTTGCACTCCTTCAGATTCTATTTTCCCTTCTTCCTCTCCTTGGAGGAAGTCCTGGGGCTGGCATAGGCTGACTTAGCCATATTTAATATTTTTAACTATACATGGATATGCCCATGTGAAGTACATCTAAGTGTTCAAACTTTCCAGTGCATGAATCACCGGGAGGATCCATCACAGACAGACTGCTGTGCCCCAACCCAGAGTCAGACACAGAGGGGCTAAGGGGGCCTGGGCTTCAGCATTCCTAATGAGATACCACATAGCACTGATACATACTGCTGGCATGCTAACATCATGCTGTGTTTTTTTTAAGGACTTATCAGGGTATTTTCAGCTTCCTTCACAAACTCAAGCTCTCAGACATGCTTGCTGGTAGGATATGGACAACTTCATCTTTATCCCACAGCTCGGTGTTTAACCCTAATTTGTATTTTTGTATGCTGGAGCATGGGACTCTGCTTTCTCCATACAGCTACCCAACTCTGACTTGTCAGATACTGACAATGCCACCCCATGTTTGGTGCATCATGCTGTTTTAACTGTGTCCCTGATTCTGGGTGAGGTGCTTTTCATGACTACACAACATGCAAATGGGTGAACTTCTATAATAACTTCTTCTAAAATAACCATGTCTTCTTAGGTTTTTCCATTTGTAGTAACTTCATGTGTGTTTTCCTTTCTCTTTTAAAATAATATTTATTCTTTAAAAATTTACACATGTATAGAATGTGAATTTCCTACTAACTTTCTCCAACATCCCCCAGTGCCCTTAACCACTCTTCCTCCAAACTCATGGATTCTTTTGTTATTATTAACATAAATAATAACTTCTAAATCCAATTAGTGCTGTTTGTATTCACATGGATTTGGGCTGCCCAGTGGGCACATGTATTTTTCTAAGAAATTCTTCACTCTATACATATTTTCAAATTTACCATTAGCATTATAGTAAATAAAAATTATTGGTCTCTACTTATTTTCGGTCCCCCCCCAAATATCACCAATTCATGCTTCTTCTCTCTTCTTGATCATTCCTGCTGACAGTTTAGTGAGTGGTCCCTTTGTTTTCACAATTGTTTTTAGATAAGCTATTACTTTTCTCTTTCTCTTGCTCCCCCCGCCCTTTACTACTCTGTGCATGTTGTTATTTATTTTGATCTGGAATCTTGGTATTCACTCTGGTTTCTACTTTTACACCTTCATCAAATGTTTATATCATTAATTTTGACATCTTTTAAGAAATACACATGCTTTTCAGGTAAAAGTCACTGTTCTTTCTGTCCGTGTCACACAGTGCTTGCATTTTCATTTTGTTATAAATACTGTCTCATTTCTGTTCAAAAGTCTTCTCTGACCCAAGAATAGAACAGCATTTCAGTTTCTATTGGTCTTGCTAAGTCCTATGATAAATGTTTAACTTCAGTCTTCAGCAGTATGATAAGAATGAAACCACAATCATATTCTTGAGCTACTTAAGGGGTAATTGACTTTTTGGCACAAAGGTTATTATTATTATTTTAGAAGCAGCTATTAGTGGATGCTTTAGAACCAGGTAATTATAGATGTAAAGTTTTTGTCTATATGTATACATCAAAATAAAGTCTTTTTTCTTTTGGAGACAGGGATTCTCTGTGTAGCTCCAGCTGTTCTAGAACTTGCTCCATAGACAAGCTGGCCTTGAACTCAGAGTTCCACCTGCCTCTGCCTCTACCCCACAGTGTTGGGATTAAAGACATGCACCACCACACCCAACTGAAGACAATATTTTTAAAGCCTGGATAATGATGTTAGCAGCATCTTAGAGTTTCCAGTGATTTGAAAGCTGAGTATGGTGGTTGCTCTCCTTATCCCCCTCTGAGACAGGAGGATCTTAGTGAGCTCCAGGTTAGCCTCAGAAACATAAGATGCTGTATGGAAAACAAGAAAAGAAAATTTGAACTCAGCTGAACTTAAGTCTACTTTGTAACATATTTGATAAAATATAATAAAGGACTATTTAATAGCCCAGTCTTCATGTTGAATTTTATATTTCACTTTGTATAGCCCCAAAGAGTTCAAATTTAACAACACAGGCTAAAGCAATTCAAATTTAATTAGTATTTAGGATGTGTGGAATATTTAAGGCATTTGAGCTGTAGAAGATGTATTTCTATGTGTATAACACCTTTAGATAAAGTTCCTTATCTGATTAAGTGTCCAGAGACTGGTACCTCTGAGAAGTAAACAAGAGCCAGAGAGATGCTACAATATCACACTCCAAAGAACTGTTGGAACCAATGACTAATGATCTCCCTGGTAACTTCTTACTGGGAGGCACAAATGGCACTCCACAGTGATCAAGAAATATCTTGGCTAAATAGTTAAAAAAAAAAACCAAAAAACCGAAAATTACCTGCAGGTCAAAATTACCGTGGAGGGCCAGTAAGATGGCTCAATGGATAAAAGAACATACAACCAAATCTGACAACCTGAGTTTGGTCCCTGGGACCCACCAGAGAGAACTGATCTAATCTACAAGTTGTTATGTGATCTCCACATGAACACCTTATAGAATTGTGAGTGATCCTATGTTCTCTCTCTCTCTCTCTCTCTCTCTCTCTCTCTCTCTCTCTCTCTCTCTCTCTCTCTCTCTCTCTCTCTCTCTCTCTCTCTCTCTCTCTCTCTCTCTCTCTCACACACACACACACACACACACACACACACACACACTACAAAATAAATTACTATGGGATTCCATTTTCCATTGGTGGGGTATTATGTTTAAATGTCATTTTACAAAACTTCACCATAAAAGATGTGTTCGTGGCAGGATGCTTTATATTGTGTCATATTTGGATGTACTATTATCTAGCATCATTTAATAGCTGAAAAGAATAAAGCAACTGAGGCAGCTCTGCTCTAAGTATCAGCATGCAATGAGTATCCCAAAAGGCTGGGCAGCCAGAGCTGAAGCACAGAGACCCCACTCTTGTGCGGCAAGATCTTCTTGTTTATGGAGTGATGCATGAGTCTGAAATCCTAAACTCCTTTCCCGAGTCAGTCCCCAAGGACTAATCTGTATCCTGTGTTTTGTGGAACAGAAAACAGTCTTTTAGTGGGCCTGGTCTTCAGAGAGAAGGCCATATCTTACCAGCTATCATCATCTGTCCATGAGCAGGACCCTTGCTGTCCATGGCTGACCCAGTTCTGACCTGGTCTTTTGCCTGTGGAGCTGAAAGCTTCTGGACTCTCACAGATGGATCATGGGTAGTGAGGTGATTGTTACCTGTGTTCACTGGCAACATCCCGCTATGGGTAACACAGCTACTGATACTGCCTCAGGTTCCCTTTAACAGCCTTGGTGAAGGCTTGCATAGAGCATGTGGTATGGCAGCCTACTCAGGCTTTGTCCCACCCCACCTTATCGTCCAGTCTTTGAGGAAGTCTCCTTGCTCTGTAAGTCACATCCACCTACCTTCCGGCCTCAGTCTCTCCTTCCAGAAATCCCACCTAACCCACAGACACAGCAGGAAATCTATGTGGAGCTTTATAGATAATCCTGGTGTTGAAGGGTGCCAATCAAGGTGAGAAGAAGCCTTTCAGATATTCAGAACCATCGCATCTAGACTTGCTGACACCTGAGCCCGAGAGGGATTTGCAGGACAGTTTGTTTTGTGGAGTGCAGGAAGAACGCTACAGAATTACATCAAATGTTGTCGGGTTTTATAATATCTTGTGTGAATATAAATACAGTTTACCAGTGGCAGCTAGCAGGACAATATTGGAAACCACTGTACTATCGCAGTAATAATTTACATCCACAGTACTAACAGAACTCTTAGAACACACCATATATCTCAGATCCATGTTGCATTTACACAGTTAAATGTTGCTGACACTGTCCCAGGAAATCAGAGTGTCCCAATGAGCATTCTCACACTTACCTTTCCCGTTCTGCCTTATTCTTGATAGATTTATCTTGACTGATGGCTTTACTATTTTCCATAGAAATCTTAGCCTGATGGGCTCGCATCTCCTTGCTTTCCCTATGAAATAAAAACAAAAATAAATGAGTGGAGAGGCATATGACGGCGATTAAGAGTTCCACAAGGCTACAGTTGAAGGTTAATGAGTATACAGATGGAATTCTCCTGCTTGCATTGAGTGTATAGCAGTGTGAATGTTCTTTGTGTCCCACACCTTAAAAGGGTGCCTTTATGATATATAACATGGAAAACAAAAGACACAAAGACAATGCATAACAATAGGGCTAAATTCATATTCTTTTACATGACTGAGCTCATGGAGTTGTTTTGTACTTTGACAAAGGACAGAAGGAAGCCTAGCTCTGGATGTATAGTGATGGCTGAGGAGAACAGTGCCACCTAGTGGAGATGTGTTGTGGCTGGGATATTTAAGTTAAGATGCTGTATTTACTCAAAAAAAAAAAAAAAAAAATACACAGATGTTCAACTCTGCCATGCACTGTTTGGGACCCAGTGAGATGGAAGAGACAGGATACTCTAACCATCACAAGTGACCTTCCTGCTGACCAACAGCGCATGGGAATGAAAGGGACTAAATAGTTCCAATTAAGGATAGGAAATACCAGACCTGCTTTTACAGCTGACTAATGACAGTATAAGTGCATGTTTGCATGTCAGACACATCTACTTTTGCATCACTCACATGTACAATAAAGGCATATAGTTTAAAATACTAAAATGAATGTGATTACAAATACTTTTAACTTAATAGTGCTCTCTCTCCTTAGGTCTTTGCCCAGAATGCACAGGCAAGGACGCTGGTTACTTAAGTCCAGTGGTTTACTCTACATCAAGAGGGATGAGCAAGGCTAAAATGGAGTTTTAGTCTGCCACTTTGTCTCCCATCAGCAGGACAATGAGAGAACCTCTGGACCCAAGGCAAACCCTCTCAGAATTTCCCATATGTTAGTAAAGTGACCTCTCCACACACCCACTCTCCCTTCCTTTCCTTCACTCATGAACACTTAAGACCAAATGTTGCTAATCACAAAGCAGAAAAGAAATGTTCCATCAGGCAGTGGAGAAAAAGAAAAACAAAACCCTTGTACTGCTGTTACTGTGAGGGATGCTCTGGACACAGACCTTTTTTTAAAGACTGGGTTTGTGGGATTTTTTAAAAATCTCTTTCTAAGCAATGAAAAATTATTTTTTTTATTTCTTTCAGGATAATTTAACTTAGAGGCTAATAATTTTTCTCTATGTGGTTATAAACATGATGATTAGAAAGTGCCTCATGCTGACACAATGAAATAAGGGGAGGTGCCCACAAGCTGGCATGTTAGCAGCACTCAAAGGGGGGAGGGGATGCAGCAGACAGAGACTTGCTGCATAGCACATATCTAACCAGAGGCACTCCTGAAGAAAAAAGACAAGACAACATCTCACCATGTGTAAGCAGACCAAGCACTCAGAATTCCATAGGGCACAGCACAAGTCTTGATGAGCCAGATCACGTGAGATGCCATTCGGTTGCCTCACTTAGGAATTGGAAGCTATGGCAAACCACTTTATTTTCTCATGGCAGGATGTCTCACCAAAAGGAACACTTGAAATTTTCCCATACAACTATATAATTTATGCAATTGCCATTTTAAAAAATGATTATTTTGCTTTATTGGTATAAAGGTTCTGTTTTATATTGTTCTGTGTATAAGCGCATACCCTGACTGTGGCATACAGTCAGTACTTAATGAAGAGCAAGCAAACAAGGATAAAAAGATGCAAGGAAAAGGCATACTCCTGTCAAGGGAGGGGTCTGGCTCAGCATAGGCAGTATTTTAAATGCAGTACGAACTTTGCTGACATGGGAATAGGCAAATAAACTGATAGGTCTTTGCTACCTTTTGATCAAGTCTGTCTCCCTAAAATGCAAAGTCCTAACAGCATACAGAAAGGAAGGAGGCCCTCTGGAATGCATTGCCACTGTGGGATGAGGGTCACCCTAGGAGCTCCTTCACCATGTCTTACCTTCCCATGAGAATTCAGGGTTTTTTTCACTTCCAGCCCCAATTTACTGTTGAGCCCCCAAAACACTTAGAGGAGGAAGACCATTTTTTAGTATGCATTATATGCAACTTGCGATCTGAGTTACCTTTATGTGATTGTAGAATATTCCTAACAGGTATAAGTCGTTGGCAGATGCTACTTCTTACAAATCAGTATGAGATACATCAAACTCATTTTTGCTTGTTTTGTACACACGCACATGCGGGAACACACACACACACACACACATACACACACACACACACACACACACACACACACACTGGGTGTCTGACGCTCCCACCTGTCATGAGAGAGCTTCAGCTGCTGGGTCTGCTGTTCATGAGCGTTGATGAGCAGCTTTCTCAGCAGCTCACACTGCTGGTTCAAGTGCAGATCCCGGATCTCTTGCTCCTCGGCACTATGAGTGTTGATCATTTCTGACCACTCCTTTGTGTGCTGTGCCACAATCTCTTTGACCTGTTTGGAGAAAATGGGATGGTGTCGCTGTCATCTGGAATCTCATGGGTCAGGTATGCACTGAAAACCCAGCACTATCCATGCAGGCCAACTCACAGTTTGTCCTGTGAATCAATAGACATGTACAACCCACAAAAATAATAACTTCTGGTCACTGTTTTACTGACGTGCATCTGTCACTCCGGCTGGTAAGTATTTTACATTGGCCTATTATTTTACTGCCTGTCTCATCCTCCAGGCTGTCTGGGTCTTGGTCAGTTCCAGAGATCTCATCATTTCACTTCTGTTAGGGCCACAGGTCTGAATAGAGAGTTGAGTGCTCCCTTATTCCTAGGTTATGGCTTGCTCTGTCACCATTAATAGACACTAGGGTAGAAAGTTCTCCACTGCTCAAGGCCACACTTGGTGCAACATGATTTTTCAGTTCTCTCGACAATGGTTAGAGGCTGTTTCTCCAAATCCTGAAATCTGTTTGACTCTGTGACTTGCTCTGACCAATGAGGCAATAGCAAATATGCCTAAAGCAGAGGTCTATGAGATCTTTCCCCTTTTCTATGCCTGGTGCTCTGTAAATGAGTCAGGACTGCCCTGGTGGAGGCTGAAGATCATGCAAGGAATATAACCATCCTGCAGGTGGCAGCCTGTTAGAGTACAAGTGAGGAGAGCAACCCTCAGCTAACTGTAGATGCTAGAATAAACCCCACAAAATCAGATCCATCCACCCATTTGGATATAGTCCGAATTTGTGACCCTCAGAATTATGATGTAATAAATAATAGTTGTTTGAAGGCATTACATTTTGGAAGCTTAGAACACAGCCAAAGCAAACTGATACCATGGCCAAGACTTCTATTCTATAAGAGAAACATATCTAAAACTCATGTCATAGTGCATAAAGCACTAATTCCCACATCCCAGCTAAAAGAAGACAGAGGGAACGGAAGATGGTGCACATTCCCAGTCATACAAAATATACAGCACAAAGGAGAACTCCATTTAGAACAGTGTGACTGGTCCATACATCTGTTAGAGCCATGGGGCTGGATGATAAAGCCTTACACAGCCACATGAGGCTTCTGTTTTGAGCGTGCGTTAATAGCTGAGAGCTTTAACAATTTTTTAATTTGAAATTTCTTATTATTGAAATAATGTTTGTGTTCTTCCAGAGTCTTAGCATTGAGGTTTCCAAAGGCTCACAACCTTACTTAAGGTCTCTCAACATCCTAGTTTCATTTGATTTGGGGACATTGCCAGTAGTTAGGCTCAACTCTTAAAATATCAATTTAATTTTTCTCACCCTAAAAGTCCTGGCAAAGATACAGTAAAAGGTAGCAAGTACTCAGCCCACAGTCTGGCTGATTTGTGTCATGTTTGATGTAACCTCCTTAGGGAAGTATATTCTGTATTTGCAGTGTTTTCTTCTAGGATCATCAAACAACATAAACATAATCAGTTTATTTCTATATGCAAGATAAAAAGATACTCCATGAAGTGGCTATTCTCAAAGACAGTAAAGCTGAGGCAAACACAAACCTCTGACTCCATCTTCCTAGTCCAGCTCCCCCTCTACTGTTTCTGACACCAGATCAATCCAGAATTGCCCTCTCTAAAATGAACTATAAAATATCCTCTTCAAGTCACTATGTAAAAAGTGGGTGTTTTCTTACCTTAGATTTGTGATCTGATGTCAGGGTCTGAATTTTAATTTCTGTTTCTTTTTTCATTTCAAGACAATTACTTCCCCTGAAAATGGAAACGTGAAAATGCATGCCAGAAATTAGATATCTTTCTGTTCCCTTGGGCCTCTGTGACAACACTTTCTGATGAAGACAATATAGCCATCAAATGTATGATGCCATGGCTCATTGGGCAGCTTCCGTTTATCCAGGAATAGATTTATACCTTCGAAATATTATCTGCACCATGATTACTCAATTCAGCCACACACAGAAATACTTCAGACCTCGCAATTATTTCCTTGTGTATGTTCTGTTGTCAAGTTTCCATTTTGGTTCCTATTTTTCTTCAAGCTGTTATTTATTTATTTATTTCATAAAATATCATTAGAGATGAAAACAGCCTTGAAGTGCAATTCTAATTCCCTCATTTTGGTCATAAAGCCAGATTTTTGTCTTTTAAATTTGCCAGTGAGGAAGAAAATAGCATTTATTGGCATTACATGGCAGGGGAAGGCTGGTTTTTTATTTTCTTTTGAGTAGGAAATATATACCAGGCGACTGCCCAGATGCCATTACTGCTGATTCTGATGGTGGTATTTTCTTTTACACATTATTGCTGAACCAGAACAGGATCTGGGCTTCTGTCTTCAGCACATATGCTCTGGCTTACGACAGCCCAGCTCACAATGCTTCCTTTTATTAGCCAAATATCCTCTGAAAGCAACACTCTCCCCTGCAAGTAGGCTCTCTGCTCACACGGCTGTTTCTCAATGACTGGTACTCAGTGTGTGTCTTCTCCAGTCTGTTATTCAGCAGACTGAAATGTTCCTCTGGCTTCGTTCCACACAAACTTTCACAGTAAATGCAATGATGGGTTTTATTCAGCATTCTCAACCAGCTGGCATAAGCTAAGGATCCCTGTAATATTAAGAAGTCACGACTGCATAATTATTCCCCTTTGAGCATTACTTATTCATTTTCTGCCCCTGTAGAAACATGTATTTTGACTTCTCCAACATTAGCTTTCTCTTTCTCTGTCTTCTCCATTCACCTTCTCCCTGCTGCCTTAAACAAACTGAAGGGAGCATCCTGTAGTCAGGCAGAAACACTTCAGTAAAGCTCCTTTTCCCCGTGACTCATTCCCTTCAGTTGGGCATGGAGAGTAGGGAAAACTTCACTGATGGTGGGAAAGAGGTCTGATTAACTCACACCATAAGCTGAAAATATCAAAACTGCAACATGCTTTTAATCCAGCCAACCTACTCAGTCTCCTGCAGAGGATCAACCCACTCCCCTCCACACCCCGTGTCATGTGGCTGACTGGGAGATGCAGACCAGAATCACAAAATTATTCCACCACCTACTAGAAACCCAGGCAAAGCCCAAACTCAGAATTGTGAGTTCACGTTCTCCTGGATGTGGGTAACTCCTGCACCACTGTGAAGCTGGGATGCATAACTCAGACCATCTTCCATCCAAGTCACCTGCACATGTTCTAGAGATGGATCCCATTATGGATATATCCAAACACATATAACCAAATTCCCCTTTGACCGACATTTTGGCAACCTGGAAACACAAAATCTAGGAAGCAACAGGCTATGTAGATGAAAACATCTGATAACTGGCTGTAAAGAAGCTTTCATGAGTTTCTCAGGTCTTTTATTTCAAGTACTGAGAAAATTCTCTCTGCAGAGCCTGGAGGCAGATCTGCATCTGTCAGCAAGGGCTCAGAAAGAAACCTACAGGCAGGCTCCTTCAGTCTCCTTCAACTAGGGTGTAACAAAAACAATCCGGGTCCAGAGCTTAGTTTTCTAGGTAAATCTTGACTGAATGTTAATGAGAAAAAAATGAAGAAAACTAGAAAGACATTTATTTCCTCCTTTCCTCTCACACCGTGGAAGGCTACAAAACCTCAGTAGAGACTCAAAACATTAAAAAAAATCATAAAATCCACCACAGGAGAAAAAAACGGGGCCTGAAATGATGTCTAAAATAAATAGGATATATATGTACACACGTATATGTATACATGTATATATGTGTATACATGTGTGTATATGATGTGTAGTCTTGATGGTACTGCCCCAACTTTTTACTATAAAAGGGGTAAACACTGACAAGACTCACGGATGGATATCTGCTAGGCACATCCTTAACCAAGTTAACCAGGTCAGCAGTGCCATTTATCACCAAGAGGAAAGCTGCAGTGCCATTTATGAGGCATCATCACCAAGAGGAAAGCTGCACTTTGGGGTATGTCTTTCAAAGACACACAACCTCCCTCTTCTTCCTCTACCTATGAGGAAATTTGAAGCCAGATAGAGAGATGTTCTATGAAGTAACTGAGCAGTAGTGTTACAAAATGAAAAGCCCAGGAAAGATGGGAGAGACAGGATCCATCAGAGTAAGGAGACAGAAAGTAAGTGCAGTGTGCAATTCCAGAGAGGATGCCAGCAAGAAAGGCGGTAAACGGGTCAAAGTATTGCTGTTTAATCAATGAAACTGCACCAGTGTCAACTTTTTTCCTGACTATTATACTGCAGTAAGAAGGGATTTTTAATATTATCCAACAGACAAGATACATGCATTACACGTACATGTTTCCAGATCCCCATTGTATGCTTAAAACCACAGATATACAGAACTGTAGTATATTTTCCCTATGAACGGACAGATGCCAATGTTAACTGCATACATTAGGCACAGTGAAATAATATGCTGTTATGGAAATCATTTTTGAAGTGTGGTGAATTGCAGTTAACACTTATTTTTTGCAGCCTTTAAAAATGATTCATAAAACAAAACGTTATAACCAGTTGTCAGAGTGGAAGAGATGATTTTAAAATTAGTTACAGCTAAATCTTTTTTTTTTAAATCAGAACTAACTACCATGAAATAATGGTTTTAGGAACTCAGCTGAAACCATCTTTAAACCATGACTAAGGTGACTGATGTCACACCCCACTGTGACGACACAGGCATGGAAATGAATGGACCTCTTATTTTCTAGGAGTAATTTTCAGTGATGAAACGGCACTGACACTAAATTCTTCTATGGTCTCAGGCAGCAGAGCTGTGCAAAGTCACCCTGTTACAGGCAGGAAGGTTCAGAAGTTAACCAGCCATCTTACCCTTTCTTCTTCATTGCCTTCTCCAGGATTTTCTCATGAGTTGACTTCTCTTTGTCGTACTGGGCCACGATTTTGTCAACTTGTGTGCAGTGTAACTTCTGCATGGTACTGTGTTCCTGCGCAGAAAGATTTTGCAGATATGAGCTGGAGTTCAACTGAAGCTTACAGCATCAGTGTGGCCTTGTTTTCATCAGCTCCCCCCGAGTGTTTGGGAAGCCAGTTAGTAATGCAGTCCGAGAACCAGGCAGACTTCTGGTCCCCACCCAACACTAGTTTTCTACTCAAGAGTACCCCTCAAAGGGGAGTTCCCAGACTTAGTCTGATGAAGACACCACTTCAAAAGGGAGCACCCCATAATACAGTGCTGAAAAAATCTGAGTAGCAGCAGCCGCCTGAACTGGGACAGTGTGGAGAAGTAGGCTATGGTGTGCCATCAACCCCTCCAGTCACCTAACAGAGGTAAAGTTTTGAACATCATGGCTCATCATGAATTGCAACGGCTGAGTTTAGAAGCAACCTTCAAGGTATCAGTTGTGCTGCTTGCAAAGAAAAGAACAAATTTTTCACTGGTAAGTTTACTAAAATGCTAGACCTTTTCAGGTACTTTATTTGACTCATTTGAGGTTGGTACCACAGCCTCAGGTCTATAGCTGCAGTTCCAGCTCCCCACAAGCTATTTAAAGCAAGGACTGAGCTGGAGAGGAAAAGTGGGAAATTCACATTAAGGTGTTACGGTTTTCCTCTGGAGAACACTGTGCCTCACACTCTGGAGGTGTAGATACCAAGTCTCTTGACCTTGGACAGGAATTAAGTGCACTTTTCTGACCATATAGACAAGACCAATTCCTCTTCTTTCTTAATGGCTGAGGGCATCTAAATTCTCATGCTTTTATCATGTTACTAGTCATACTTCTCTAACCTGGGATTTCAAACATTATCTTTTAAGAATGGGACCAACATGGACAACTGAAAAACATTTTTGTCTCTTAATGAAAGTGACCCTAGATTTGAACTTACATGCTAGGTAGGATTGCTATTTTCTTTACTTTTTTGTGTCTAGTCTGATGGGTTTTTAAGAACCATGGCCCTATTTTCCACTTCAAATTGAAAAAGTGGTTCAAATCCGGAGACAGTTAGGAGCCTAATTACCAGCTGCATTCCGAGCACAATTGACCATAAACAGGCAAGGGTTGTTCCAATGATCATTAACCCTGTCTTCCCTGTCTTTTTTTTTTTTTTTTTTTTTTTTTTTTTTTTTTTTTTTGTCTCAGTATCCTACCACTGTATCACAGACCTGTTTCAAGGGCTTTCTTTTATAAATGGCAGATTCTCACGTTCACACTCTTATTTGTTGTTTCACCTTGTGGCTAACCTTCATGTCTGGAAATGTACATAGATGAGATAAGACACTTGTTTAACATGCATTTCCATGTTCAATAAGTTGTGTAGGTGCTGTCTTCAGCAATATGGCTTTGCTGTCAGTTTGTAGAGAGCAACCTACAGTCTTGAAAGCAGCCTTGGCTTGGCAGGGGGGTCATTCCCATGGGACTCCTTTGAACAATAACTCAATTAGATGTAACCAATTCCTGGTTCTGGAAGCTTCATTTGGTGACTGACAACAGATGGCCAGTTTGGGCTCGGTCCCTCCATTGTTTGGTGATTTCCTTTAGACTGCCTCCATATATCTATATATTTTAATATGTACACATTTTAGGAAGCTTCTACTGTAATAGGTTTCTATACTATCCCTCAGATGACCTTTAATTTTAGATGTCTCTCCTCATATTCCTTCCCTCATCCTCCTCCTTCCTTTTCTTTCCTACTGGACCCTCCCCCCATCCATAACTGCCTATTGCATTTCCGTTTCCGAGGGAGATCTGCATGCCTCTCACCCTAGTTCCTTATTTGATTCCTAACTTCTGTGGCTGCATATTGTAGCCTGCTTACTGATGACTTTACAGCTAATGTCTACACATAAGTGAATAAATACCATATTTGTCTTTTTGCATCTCGGTTAATTTTCTCATGGTGATTTTTTTTTCTAGCTTCATCCATTTACTTGTGAATTTCACGATTTTCTTTGTTTGTTTGGGTTTAGTTTTTAACTGCTGAGTAATATTATACTGTGCCTACAGAGAGCCTTCACCCTTACATGCTACTGGCTTTGGTACAGGAAGATACTCTAAACACTACCAAAGGAGAAATGGAAACACACACTCAGTGCTGGGAGGCCCTGCTGGTTGGAGGTTGCAGTCTACTGTGGCCTGGCAGCTCTCTCCAAGTTGGGCAACATGGAGGACTCCCCCATCCCCCATACCCTGGAGGAAGGCACCTTGTTCTCTACCTGACTTTATTTGAAGATTGTCTCTAGGCACAGTTGCCTGACTTACCTCTAGTATAACCTTCAACACAGTTCCCTGTGGAAGCTTTCTCCCTACTGCTCAAATGGTAATGAGACATTGTGCCAGGAGATTTCAATAGGACCTTGCTTCCACAGATGATAACTAAGACTTGTACTAGGAGCCTTATGATAGAGGACATAATCAGATATTAATCAAAGGGGGATGGAAGACACCAAGGAAATACGGCCTTCTAACTCAACAGGATTGACCCACATATAACTCACAGAGACTGAGGCAGTATTCACAGGGCCTTCACTGTCCTTTAGGTATATATTATAGCTTTCAGTTTAGTGTTTTTATGGGATTCGTAAGCCTGTGACAAATGGGTCTCTGTGTCTATATCTATTTCTTGTGTCTTTCCTTAAGCTCTTTTCCATCTGTGTTAGTTCTTTCCAATGTATTAGTTTTGTTTTATCTTATTATATTTTATTACTATCCCATAGAAGCCTCTTGGTTTCCTAATGAGAGACAGAAAGGAAATCAATCAGAATGGTTTGAGGTGAGGAGGAACTTGAAGGAGAGGAAGGAAGGAAAACCATAATCAGGATATATTATGTGAGAAAAACTCTATTTCAATAAAAGAGGGAAAAAGAAAAAATGGCCATGAATGAAGAAAAATGCATTTCCACACCTTGCTTGGAGACTTCAACTAAGTCTCAGCTGGCACAAGACAACACATTTTTGTGAAGCCTTAGAATTCCAGTCCAACAATTCTATGCTGAAAAATTGTTCTGAAGAAAGAGAGATATTTTGCCTTGACAGTCTCCATTATTCTAAAACCCTGTTCCTCAGACCATGCAGAAGATGAGGTATGGAAATAAAAGCCAGCCTGTGGAAATCTGGAGGTGGATGGGTAAAATAGCTAAGACCCTGCATTTTCAAGTCAGATTGAATTTAGGTCCCATCCTGGCTCTACCATTTAAATGCCCAGTGATTTTGTCAATCTGAGCCCTCTATGAGGAGATAATGCCATCTTTTCAGTAGCTGGGTGAGTATTTGCAATCATGGTCACAGTCATATCTCTCTATTCAACCCTGCTACTTGTCCAATGGGGGAGTCTTCATCTCTTAATGTGGAACAGAACTGAGAACTTTATTTGGTCAAGTAATTGAGGAGAAAGTGATGGAGTGATAGGTCTGAGCCAGAAGTCCTAGGAGCCTGGCATGTTCTGCTTGGTCTTAAGGACTTCTGTCATTTGAACAGGTCCAGACTGGCATGTAAGATGAACAGCTATATTACAGAGTCAGAAAGTAGTGCAGGAGGGGTTTTCCAAGCCAGCCAGGTCCCTAACTGTCCACTGCTTCCTACACTGGCCGTGGTAGAATATGAGAGAGAGAGTCCAGGAAGAGATCAGGGGAAGTTTCCAGATGAAGTCAGTCCAAATGGCCCACAAACCTGTAAACTAAACAGATGGCTTGTCAATATATTTCAGGATGGCTTGTTACCAAGGAAAAGATAACTAGTAAGCTAATATAATCATAGTGCTCCCTTACATACTAACAGAAAGATATCTAATAAATGTTTATATACTCCTAGTTTTGGTTAGCCCACCTACTACCCTCTTCTCTCCCCCATCTCCCCACTCACATGTCTGCTTAATCCTATAACCCTTAACTATCCCCTTCTTTCATATCACATGTAGTACTATGCTATTCCTCCAATTATATTTTAATTGGGTTATGAGATAATAGGCTTCACCTGAGTTTTAACTTATTAGTAAGCTAATTTTAAAATATACCTTTTAAAAATAGTTCAAACGCAATTTCCTTGCATTGGTGGATAACACCATTCCCAGGAGACACGACTTATTAAATAATAATCTCATTGTAAGCATGATGTACCTCCCTAAGAGTTATTGGCCATGGAGTCCTCAGACATGTCTAGTACAACACAGATGGCTGCCATTGTCCTTGGTTACCAATTATAATTACACAATAAGACTCTGTTGCTAAAGATATCACACATTTTGGTTGTCTATGGGGCATACAGAAATTAATCTCAAATTGATTGGGGAACTTCTTCCCTGTTGGGCAGCTTTCATATTGCCAGAAAGTGCTATGTAGGCTGGTGGGAGATAATAGACATTCCACAGCTTACCCAGTGTTGGGCCATGCATGACACAATATCAATCTGCTAGACAAGATGTGTCCCTTGGCACAATACTGGCATGACTGTTAAAGGGTAGTTAGCCACTTTCTGATTGGATTTGAGGCCTGCTCCACGAGGAGGAAGTTTATCCTGGTCCTATAATCCTAGTCAAAGGGTCAGGGCTTAGGAGATCATAGGCCCCAGAATAGATCCTGCTATTGTCATTTTGTTAAATGGTCACCTTGCCAAATTGTCTTCTATACATTCTATGTACTCTCAACCAGGATCAGAAAGAGTGAGCAGCACTATCAGTGGGCAGCATTCCATGCAGGCTCCTAATTGGTCCAAGGGCTGAAAAGAGAATGAGCACCTGGATTTAGATAGGGTGCATCTTTAACAACTCTTGACTTCTTGTAAAAATAGGGCAAGGAAATAATGTAAGGATGTGGAAGAATGTTGTAAAATGCTATTTTCCGGGTATAACACTGTCATCACTTTCGTGAACTCATAGCAGCTGTGGTTACCTACAAAAGACCTGCACCATGATCAAGCCATTCAGAATTTTAGCACAGATGGAGGAGGTGCTTATCCTGGCTTCACCATTTGATGGGGGATGTACTTCTGTA